CCCTTGTCCTAATTTCATTGAATGCTTTGTTTAGGATGCAGGCTCACAACAGTGCTTTTTTTCCCCCTTTTTAAAAATGTCATTAAAATTTGGTTGTTTTTTTTTAAAAACAGGATGTCATACAAAAGTTAATATAAAGTGATTTAAATAGACTGAAAAATGACTCTGCATTCTTGAGTACCCCTATATTTTATGTATTTTTGTTGCTACCAGAAACTTAAATGGAAATGTAGTTTTCCCTTATGAGTGTTCCTTTTTTCATCTGGCTTTTTTTTTTAAACTCTTGGAATTAAAAAATAAAACTTGAAAAGTCATGGTGATCAGAAAATGCTTGAAGTTAACAAGTAAATGTAATAGTTCCTGTCTGCCTGCCATTCAAGATCCATGGAGTAAATGTTTATGCACCATATTCCTGTTCCTACAGTGTAGTTTTCTATGTGCGTATAGTTCCCAAACATCACACAAGCAACATGGTTTGGGAATCCAAATTTCCTGAAAGTGGTGGCCACATGGCTTAAGCTTAACCTCCTTTAAAGATGCTAAAACCTCTGTTTCTTTATTTTTATTTATGTAGGGATTTTAATTTGGAGTCTTTGCTTAGATGATTGATGTTTCTAGTTGGACTGATTTTATTTTAGTATCGTGGATTTTTATTTTATTGTATTGCCTGGAGGTAGGGTTTGTCTAATTTTAAAGCTGTGCTTTAGTGTGGATACCCATAGGTAATTTGCAACAGAGAGAAAGTGGCAGAATGACAGGGAAATATCCTGAAATTTAAAATTTTCTTATATTTTTAGAGGCTCTGTGTGTATTTTGGGGGAGGGATATGTTTGAGGATGACAGGTCCTGGAATTTTCATTCAAGGTGTTGGCTTAGGGGGGGAAACCTGTCATAATTTCCTTGATCCTTCATTATGACTTTTCAAGAAAAACCTGAGGAACTTGTTGATCATCTTTTTATAGCAACAAGAGTTGAGTCCCCACTAGCTAGCTTTATCAAGGAACAGAAGCAACTTTTTCTAGACTGGCACAAACTTGAAAGTGGTAATGCACTTCCAGCTGAAACTTTGGAATACATTCTGATGGCCTCACTGCCTTTTCCAGCTAACCGTGCAAACAGATGGATGATAAAGCAGCCTCATGGGTTCAATCTCCCTCCCATGAGTGGAAATATGTTGTCATAGCATGTATGAAGAGAGGAACAGCTTTCCAAAAGGCCACTGGTATGCAGCATGTGTTCTCATGGCCTTTGAGGATTGAACCAATGCGTTCCAATGGCTTTCCCTCAAATTCAGTCTTTGTGTGACCATTCACAAAGAAGGACTGCATCTAAGCAAGTATTTAGTCATTCATTCTAGTACTTCTCACTCTTGTCAATTACTTCCCATTCTCTACAACACTCCCTGGGACTAATTGAATCAGCCAGCAAAAATCCTAAGTATAATTACTAAAAGCACATCAAGTGCACTACACATTGTACCAAAACAGAAAAGGAAAGTCTTGTTGGCATGCTCACAGTCTAAAAGAGGAAGAGAAAAATATGGAGTGCCTCTGGAGAGAGATTGGAGTGGTTTTAAAAACCCTCTGCGCAATAACTTGCATGCATCTTACAGTCGGTATCCTCATCAAATGACAATACAATAGTGGTTTATTAAAAGATATAGCCATGTTAGTCTGTAAAATCATTATGTAGAGAGATCTGGTAGCACCTTTGAGACTGAAAGAAGTTGGCAGCATGAACTTTCATAAACTAAAATCTACTTCAGATGCATTTGGTTTATTAGGTTAAGGTATTTATTAAGTGGTTTATTAATTTAAGGTATTTAAGTTGTTAACCTTTGTGAGTTCCTTTGTTTATGGTGTAAACGGGCAAACCCTCTGTATAACAGTTTGTTTTGATAGAAGCTGTAAAGTATGTTTTGGAGCAAACCATGATATGAAATTCCAGGTTTTAGCCTAACATGTTGTTTTATAGCTATTAAACCATGTAAAGGATACTTGTGACACCTTTGAAACTAGCAGTGGTCAGGCAACAGTGCAGCTTCCCGGGAACTACAGTTGCAACAGGAGAGGGGGGGGATGTTTTCCTTCTTATTCAGATATTCTTTTGCATAGATGGCCATGGTTAAACTTTTTGAGAGCACAATGTGTGTTTCTGAAGATGCCAGCCACAGATGCTGGCAAAATGTCAGGAATAAAATCTTCTAGAACAGGGCCACATAGCTCCCAACCCCCCCAGTGTGTCTGTCTACAAGTTACTGGATAATAAAGGTTTTGCAAGCAATTGACTGCTAGGTCTGAGCTGGGAAGGGCTGTGAGGCACTAAGACATCTCAGACTCCTTGGCTTCTACTAATTTGCAGTTGCCCTGAATGAGTCTGGTGTGCAGTTTCCCTCTCTTTCTACTTCCCTCCAACTTTCCTAGCATTACTGTTTTTTCCCCCAATTAGTCATACCTTCTCGCCCTCGAGTCAATTTTGAGCCATAGTGACCCTATGGATGAGACATCCCCAAGGCCTTCTATCTTCCATTGTTCTGCTTCATTCCTGCAACCCCTTAATACCATTGTGACCTCCTTCATAGAGTCCATCCATCTGGCATGTGGCCCTC